GAGAAAAGGAATGACAAGTTGACGTTCCAGTGACGAACAAGACAAGTCTCTGCAGCAGGTAATCTCATCCCCAGCACGCTCCTCCACCCTCCAAAGGCCCTCTCACTAATGTTGAGTAACAAGATCCCTGCAGGGGCAACGCGACACCACCCTAAAGATTGACACGAGGCGTTCAGGTGAATGATAACACAGCTGCATAACACTCACTTCTGGGAAACAACAAAGGGCGTCTGTGTCTTTGTTTGGGGTCTTTACATGGTCCAAAGAAGAAGCAGGTAAAGAGCAGTAGAATTACGCAAGCATGACAGGAGCCACTCCCTGCTCTGGCTGCTCTGCACAAGCTGGGTACTCTTCAATGGCCACCAACTTTCTGTTATTTCTCAACACAACAACACTCACACAAAGACGCATGCTGTTATTAATGAGTTACAGAGCACAACAAGCATGTGCTGTCCTGCTCAGAGCCTGACACACAGACCCAGAGTGCGTCTTATCACGGCATGCATCAGCTTTCTGTTTAGTGTCTTGCACAACACCAGCTGGCTAAGGTAGGTCTTGGTAAACCTGTTGTGACACACGGGCCACTGCGCTGCTGTATAGGAAAATTACAGTCTAGCAAGCCTCAAATACCATAGCCCTTGGATATGAAGCTTCAATTCACCATTTGGGAAACAAAAGACACTCTACAGTGACTCGTGCAATGATTGACAGCACTTTTTGAAGATACAGTATGATTAACTTCACACTGTATCATTTCTTTCTCCTTAAAATTACATTATTGTGAACACACACCTCTGAATTCACAGCTGGGTGACAAGTGATAAGAGCCTGGTCCAGCTGACACCTTGCAGTCGTCATATTTCAAAGGAAATCAAACAGGTCTCGTCTGTGTTAGTGTGCACAGACATTACCCAAGCAGTTTGCAAGTATTTGCACAACCGTGACAGTGTGACACAGATAAACACGACTTTGATTCCCGAGCATTTCGTGCCAACTTGCATAATCCAGTCTGCAGTGACACGACTATAAGGGTTTTGGAGTTATAGAGTGACAGCCATTTCAGCTCTCTCACATTACCACTTTGTTTTCACAGGTGGTTTTGCACAAGTCAAACCACACATGCTCACCCCTGTGTGTCAGTGTTTGCAAGGAGGCTGACTCCACTCAACAAGTCTCTGTTGACCAATCTGCCAAATCTAAGGCAAGACAGTGGGTGAGAGGATACAACCAGCTGGCTTGGATGTGCTGTCACTTGATATAGCCTGCAGCCAATGGAGTATAAAGTGTTTTCTCCATAGGATGCCGGTGTACGAAAAGCAAGCAAGTGCAAGATTAAGGAGTAATAATAAAGTGTCTATTGTCACTGTGGGAACTAGAATGATGAATAAGGAAGGAAACCACTCTGACAAATGCAATGACAGCTGTTCAATGTGTGTGTATGACAATGTTTCGACACTAAACCACGCATCATATGCTTCAGTGTAGTATTTTGTCCAATCATATGTCAGTCACAGATGAGCATTTCCTGTTTAAACACTTAAAATCAGTCAGAGGAAGCTTATGGTGTCTGCAAATGCAACAACACACTCATTATACAGTAGTTACAGCATAAACTGGCATTAAACACTGTGTGTAACATACCTGCAATCCTTAATGGAGGTCTGCACACGCGTCAGCCAACACAACATCCACGGAGATATGACTGTGGGACCTTTAAACAGCTGTTCAAATATTAAAACACACTCACTACGTTCAGGTTCAAGCAGCAGGTTAGCTAACCGTGTTTTGGAAAGTTCCTGACGATGGTAACGTTCACCGCAGCACGTCACTACCAACGTTCAACCAGCACGAGCGAGCCCCAGACGAGAACAGAAGATAAAACATAGAGATAAACAGACTCTATTATTCGTTAGAAAATAGTTTGACTGTTTCTACTCATCCTCCATGGAAGCTGAGGGGAGACGCGGCTCTGTAACAGCCGAGCAGAGAGCAGAGGCGGCGGTGAGAGCTGCCGCTGCAGGTCAGTAACTTCAAACTTAAACTAACTGCTCGATCCTGATTGGCCCAGACTCCCGTGGTGATGCGTTCAGGCTGCACTGGTTAATGTGGAGAATTACCCCCCTTTGAAGTGTGTTTTTCGCTATTGCTTTTCGTAGTTTGCAGTAAGTAAATAAATAAATAGATAAATAAAAGAAGTAGGAAGTGACCTTATTTATACAGTCTATGGAAGTGACGAATATAGTAACTCAATCATTTTCACATTTGTACATTTTCGGTACTAGTACCTGCTTAAGCATGTAGTAGTCATGGTAGGCATAGTAAGAGCAGTAGTAAACCATGCTGCATTTACTGCAGTAGGACTTCTACAGGCAAAACATAGTTAAGCTTTTAAATGTAGTTGTTGCAATAGATGAGAAAAGAGCCTTTTGGTTTGTGAACCTTGAAATAATACAGTGTCTACTTGATCAGCTCGCATATGTCCTTGTAAGAGTAATTTAAGAGTAATTCTCAGTTCTTTCATTTGATTTATTATGAGGGGGCTAAATGGCAAAACTATCCAATATGTGAAACACAAAACACAAAGATGAGAGAAATTCCCATAATTAATTCAATTTGTGCAGCAAAACCTTTTCCTGTCCCATTAATTATCCGTTGACCCTTTAGATTTATCACTGGAGGGCCAGGTTGGGGACAATTGCCCAACAACAGGAGTAGTTAGATTTGACATCAGCGACGCAAATGCTACTTGTGTATGAACAAAACTAAAGAGAAAAGAAGTCATTGCTGACACCTTCTTAGTCAGTAGTGGAATGTAACTAAGTACATTTACTCGAGTACTGTAAATTTGAGGTACTTTGCTTTACTTGACTATGCTTTGTACATATCCAATACACTTTAGAGGGAAATATTGTACTTTTTTCACTACAATTACTTGATAACTTAAGTCAGTTACTATAAATTAAGATATTTTGCACAGACTTGATGAAAAGTGCAGCTGAAACTATTAGCCAATTAATCATTGGTCATTTTTCATGCAAAAACATTTCATGGTTTCAGCTTGTCAACTATGAGGACTTGCTGCTTTTCCTTTTTTTTATTTTATTTATTTATTTTTTTTTTTTTTTACATAAATAACATTTCAATGTAGGCCTGTTACTAGTAACAGAGTATTTTTACAGTGTGGTACAAGTACTTTTACTTGAGTAAAGGATCTGAAAACTTCCCTCACCACTGTTCTTGATACACTCCTTTAATCAACTATAATTGTAAAAGCTGCATTGTTTCTTGTAGTCGTGTATTTACCATTGCAAATCTGCTCTTTTTTCTGTATAATACCTATATTTCCGACAGTACTAGAACGCATCAAAAAACCCAGGTTAGTTATCTGTGTGTGTGTGTGTGTGTGTGTGTGTGTGTGTGTGTGTGTGTGTATGTGTGAATCTGTATCTGTTACTGTCCAACACACACACGCAAACACACTTGATTTATGTTGGTGATTTTCTCACGCACCCAACAGTAAAATGTAAAGCAGGTGAAGCCTGCATCTACACTTCTTCTGTAGCTGTAGCGCTGAATGAAAGGGCTCACTGTAATGTTGAGGCTGCAGCGCCCCCTGCTGGTCATATTTACATACTGACTGTACCTCGTGGTTTTATGTTACACAGCCAGTGATCAGTGGCTGTTTCATGACCTAAGAAAAATAAATAAATGAATAAATAAATATCCTTCTAGGCTACATAAAATCCCTTCCTATTAACTGATTAATTAATTAATTATTTTTTTTACTGTTCTATAATAATAATAATAATAATAATAAATAAAATACTAAATTAAAATAATAGTAATAGTAATAATGGTAGAAGTAGTAGTAGTAGTAGTAGTTGTTGTTGTTGTTGAAATTACTATTATTAATTAACATTTTATTTTTTCTTTATCATCAAATTTTATATAATTATGCTGTAATCAAACTTACTTATCAACATTATTGTTATTGCCATTTAATTACCTATTTATTTATTCATTCATTCATTTATTTATTTCTCTCCCTCCACATACCCACACATTCCTCTGGCCACAGTTATTCATAAATATAAATATATTAACTCTTCCACACGTGCACACAAACACAATTCTCCCACTAACAAATACAACTTCAAATCTGAACCATGTTTTATTCAATTTCAGTTATTTATTTACTTATTTTTTGTTAATGTCTGTGTATTTCATTACACCCTTGTGTGTTTCTTGACCCATTTATTCAGATTTTTTTCCTTTGATTTGTCACCTGTCTGTAGGTCATGCTTTTAGTCTCAGAAATAAAGATCTGTCTGTATATTTTGTTAACCCATTTGTCCGTCTAATTTGTCACCTGTTTGTACTATGTCAATTGACTGACAAAAAACAGTTGTAATTTGAGAGTAACAAGAAGGTAGGTCAGTAGTAAGCAGTTGACTCTGAAATGATTCGCCTGTTAGCAGACGTTCTCTTCTTATGGACAAAGGGTTATAAAAAGAAAGAGTCACATGTTTCTGTCTGATTCACAAACATACATTTTATATTCATATCATGTCCAGATGAGATTTAACTTGATTGCATTTACGCATGGTATAATGCATCTGCTGAGATTGTATGAGCATGTATTATTGTGTGTGTGTGTGTGTGTGTGTGTGTGTGTGTGCTCTTACATGTGCGTGCAGTGAGAATGATTAATGACCTTGTCCTCTAATTAGATTAGTGTATTGGTTGCTCTAATATTAAGTGTCATGTCACCAGAGGTTATGCAAAATTGCCTGTTGAAACACCCAGAGACTAAAGTGTATACACACACACACACACACACACACACACAGATACACACATACACTCTGGTATTAGGATGTACAGGGTGCATTTTCTGAACCGCTTGAATATGTTTACTCAATTCTCCACCATGTCAGAAACAATCATTTCCTGTCGCAGAAACGCTGCACCCAGTGAATAAGTGACACCCAGATGATGAATGTATTTACAAATGGAATTCTGTCTTTATTTCCTTCACAGATTTGTGACTGTGTTTGTGTTTTGCACTGTGTCATTTTACATTTTAAACCCAAAGCCATGCTGGTGATGCAGTCGGATATCCATCGTCAGCGCCGATCACTCTGCTCCTCTCATCTCCACCACTCCGTCCTCTTTCAGTGGCAGGTTAGTTAGGAAACACCAAGCCCACCTGTCAAACATACAGCTGTTACTATCAGTTACTGATGACTGGCAGATATCAAACACATGTTTCAGCTATAATGAGATGATTTCCACCGGCCCCACTGTGTGGCAATAAGGGAAATGTACATCATGACTTTGGACATATACAGACTGAGTTTACCGCCCTGTTGCACAAACATGAACTGTTTGAATGAGTGCTCTAATGTGTAATATACCGTATTAGTGGAATAGAGCTCCAACATTTAATCGTTTAATTAGCTGTCAACTATTGATCACCAACTAATGTGGTAATTGATTAATTGGTTTGAGTCATTTTTTAAGGAAATACAGTCAAAATTCTCTGATTCCAGCTTCTTCAATGTGAATATTTTCTGGTTTCTTTACTCCTCTATGTATGGATGGATTACTGAATGGCACAGGCCCACGGGCCCAAAAGTGTCAGCTGCAAATTTCACTTAAAATAAAGAGATACAAAATAACCACAAAAAAGGCAAAACAACCACAGGGAGACACAAAACAACCAAAAAGGACAGACATTACCTCAAAGAGACACAAAACAACCACAAAGAGGCACAAAATCACAAAAAAAAGACTTCAGATTATCTTACAGAGAGGCAAAGGAACTGCAAATACAAATTAAATACAAAAATAGGCAAAACAACACACAAGACAAGACACAAAACAACCAAAAAGGACACACAAAATGACTACGGAAAGACACAAAATGACCTCAAAGAGACACGAAATGATTTTAAAGACACACAAAATGACTACAAAGACACAAAATGGCCACAAAGAGGCACAAAATGACTTTAAATAGACTCAAAACTACCTCTAAGAGATGCAAAGGAACTGTGGACGGACACAAAATAACAACAAAAACAGGCAAAACAACCAGAGAGGACAAAAATTACCTCAAAGAGACGCAAAACAACCACAGAGAAACACAAAATAACCGAGAAAGACACACAAAATGGCCACAAAAAGACTCAAAGTTAACCTAAAGAGAGGCAAAGCAACTGCAAATACGTATAGTCCATACAAAATAACCACAAAAATGAAGTAAACAACCACAAGGAGACACAAAACAACCAAAAAGGACAAACAAAGCCACTACAAAGACACATAAAATGACTTCAAAGAGTTAAAATAACCTTAAGAGGACCAATCTATCTATCTGTGCTCAGGGACCCACTGTCTCATAATCCGCCCAACACACAGTTTGACAGAGACGTGTCCTGGCAGGTGGAGATATTACAGTAGTCAGTACCTTGTCTGGGCTCATATTAGGACACATCCAGTTGTACAGGTAGTAATGAAGGCTCCTGTCATTGATGCTGAACTTGAGCGTCTCCAGGAAACTCATGTTATCCATCACATCCAGAGCACAGAAGACATCAAAACCTTTCTGTCAGTGAGAAAAGAAAACAGTAAACCAAATCTGATGCTAATTACGCTATTAAAATTCTGTCCTATAACAGTTTTATTCTGACACACTCACAGACTTAGCCAGGACCAGTGTGTCCTCCATGAGGTCAACAGGGCCTGTGGCGGTAGAGGCAACGTAAAGCAGATGAGCTGCTCTGAGGCCGGCGTGCACTGGGTGATTCAGCACCTTGTAGGAGACGCCGTAGAAACTCACCACGTCTGTCAGCGTGCCATCATCACCCTGTGCGCGAGGAGGGGAAGGTGAATCAGTTATTTCCAGAAAATGGCGAGGAAATCTCTTCCCTCTCCAGAGAAACTGAAAATTGAAATTGACAAATTGTAAGGTCAGACCTCCACAACGTAGGCGTCAATCACATTCTCCCTCGGCAACAGCCAGTGCTCCACTTCCTGCAGAGACAGCATCGGGCTGAGGTGGAACTTGCCGAGGTTTGCCTGCAGTAGTGAGTGTACCTTTGCAGCATCTTTTTTGGTCATGGGGCGCAGGCCTGGTGTCTTTGTCACCTGTTGGAGAGAGGAGGAAAGACAAGAAACACTCTCAGTGAGTGCTACAGAAAAATCTTTTCCCACAAACCACTAATAAGTATCCTCAATATCTTTAAACATTTTGTATATGCCTTTTCCCCAGTCCTATATTTTGATCAGTCAGGTAAAAATACTGTGATGTCAGGCCAATGTCAGACCATAATGGCACTGACGGATTCTCGCCTCTAGGTGGCAGCACAAACTAACCTCAGGCAGACGGTTGAACTTGAGAGCTCTCTGTAGGGGTATGTTCTGTCTCAGCCCTGGGTAGCTCACGTCCGTCAGTTTTCGGAGATTCAGAGGGCGATGCCAGCACCTGAAAGATTGAGTTTGTTTATTTGGTGGGGACAGTGAAGGTAGAAGGTCGCTTCAGAAGAGAATTACCAAAGATGAGATGTATAGGGTACAGAACTAAAGCTAATTTGTAGTCCTCACTGTACCATGCTTATTTGAAAGAAATATCTACATTACATTTAAAACAAAGACTGCATGATTGCTACTTAGAAGGGATGAGAGTGATGATTTAATTCGTCATAGTGTTAAAAACTCTAAAAACTATGATATATTCATGACTAAAATAAGCCGTTACCGAAGTTAAAGTCTCCCTCTACTTGAAAATGTGTTTTCCTTATGGTCATTTCCCTCTAAAATGTCTGACCTTGACTATTCTGCCTTGTACCTGGGCAAAGTTTGTCACTAGAGAGGTTTTCAGACTCCTCTACTGAGTGGGCAGATGTGCACTTCCTTTAATCTGAGATTTAAACGCACCCTGGGAGACCTACGTTAGGTACGTCACTAGAACTAGAATTGGAGAGCCTTTATCGTCATTGCATAGGAATGCGACAAAATAGTTGTGACAGTATTTAGACAAGTATTTCAAGTACAGCAAAGTGCTTAGTGGATGGCAGAATGGCAGTAGTAAACATTATTTGATATATAATACGAAAGTCAATCACCGTCTAATACAGAAAACACCCTAACCCTTATACACAACATGGGCAAAGACGCCTGAAACGTCCAGCACAGAGCGCACTTGTCAGTACTTTTTACCTCTGGTCATTGCATTTCAGCTTCAGAAATCATGACAGCAGTGTTAATTTGTCAAGATTATCTTGCTGGACAAAAACGTGGAAGTACCATAAACATTTGTTTGACACAGATTTCTTGCAACAAACCAAAATCCAATGGAAAAAATCCCATCTGCGTTTTGACAACGGAACCAGGGCGACACTAACTTCCACATGGCCTACAGAGATATGTCATCCCCGGAGCTCTCTATTTTCATATACTAGATGGAGTACGCCCCCTAGTGTTCAACACAAGAACACTTTACAGATGGATACAAACACCACCACAGAAACGGCAAATGTTTTTACGCCATCGAAATATGCGCATGGAGCAGTACCGAGACAAAAACAGGACCAATAATGAATGGCGACAAATAAGTGAGGAAGTTGTCAGTAGTGTGGCCAGTTTTGTGAAATATTTTGTTAACATATGATCCACTATGTATACACTCTGAATGTAACATAGTTAGCATGCTACCAGTGTTAACTAGAGAAACATGCCATCAAACTTTTCACTCAGAAAAAACTGCACGGATAGAGCATCGGACTGTTATCTAATTCATTTTTACGCTGACTTCCTGTGGCACAGTCCATACGGTCTGTCCGAAATCTGCCGCAAACATTTTTCAACAAAATCAAGGCAAATTCTGAACTGAAAAAAAGGAAGGAGGAGTTTTGCAAAGACATCAGAGATCAGGGAGGATCTCATAGAAATAAATAAACATCCCATTGACTCGCATACATATGAGGTGCCGTTTGTAAAGTGGCTCACGCTGAAAAAGTCAAATAAAATTTCTCCAAACATGTTTCTTGTTATTTTAGGTAGTTATTATGATGCTAATGTATGTTCAAGTGTCCATTTCCCCCGATAAGTTGGTTTTAATTTGTTATTTGATTCTATAAACACAGTCTGACCATCTCAAGCTTTTTTTTGGTACTTCCGGTGACCGGCAGTGTGAATTTGCATATTAGCTAAATATTTAGTTTCACCCAGAACATTTAGATTTAACATTTAGATTTAGATTTAGATTTAACATTTATATTTAGCATTTAGATTTAAGATTTAGATTTAGATTTAGCATTTAGATTTAGATTTAATATTTAGATTTAGATTTAATATTTAGATTTAGATTTAGATTTAACATTTAACATTTAGGTGCCACATTTAATATTTAAATGTAACTATTTAATATATTTCTAAGTTAACAAATATTGCTGTAAATGTGGTAAAAGGTGACGTTAAAAAATTCTTTTTCTTTCTTTACAACATTTTTAAACATTGTTTGAAGCTAAATGTGGCAAAATGTTGATGTTATTTTCAGCGTGAGACACTTTACAAACGGCACCCCATACATACATACATATAGCTATATGGAGGCACGGCATGTTGGCACTGCTCTTTTAGCACTGGACAAAGTAAAAGCTACTGCAGCATACTGGTGGGCGAGGCGGAGGCCAGAACCAGAATTTCTCAAAGGAATGTTCCGGGGATGACGTTCTTCTGTTGACCAACATGGTTCTTAGCATCGCCCTAGTTCCCTCATCAAAAAGCCAAAATGGAATTTTCCCATTGGATTTTGGATTATTGTAGAAAATAAGCTCTGCAGCAAACAAATGTTTAGGATACTTACACATTTTGTCTAGCAAGATAATCTTCACAACGAACACCAGTTTCATGATTATTGAAGCTTAAATGCAATTGTTAGGAGTAAAAAAGTTAACATTAGGCTATAAACGAACTACGCTATGGTCACACGTAGGCGTGATGATGTTCTGTAGTCTCATTTACTTGTTAGCTTTTTTTAAGACTCATAAATGTTTAAAATTAACAACTCTGGTATTTACTGACGTATTTTATGTCATAGAACAAAACGTGAAAGTCTGCTAAGCTTGTGTTAACCACAGACCTTATTTCAGGCACCTAGCGAAAACCCATTGACTTCAAGACGAGGGCAACAGGAGTGCTGAAATGATAACTCATTTCTGGGTTTTAGGACTCAGGAGAAAGAGTAGATCTGCCTCTGGTCCCTTTTCTGAATGTTAAACAAAATATGATTTATGGCAGAATATTTTTACATACTTGAAAACATGTCTGGAGGGGGACTTTAAATTTGGGTTTAATGCTCAAAAACCCAGGACTGGGTCGTTGTGGTTTTATCAGATTTGATTGACAGTAACCTGGCAGCTTCAAAATAAATGACATCATCTTTCCCCAAATGCACTCTGCTGCTTCAAACAAAGCAAACATAAAAGCAAAAATCTGCCATGTGACATAATCAAAGTTCTTGTGAATTGGCAGAACATGTTGTTTTCAAGTCAAACCCCATCCCTCATATTAAAAAGGTGAATTAAGTGTTTTATTTCCAGGGGCTTTAAAAGTGCTAATTGCAGCTTAACTTTGCCTTTAAATCAAATATGAATCAATCCAGCTCATACCTGCAGGAGCTCAGCGGTGTGGGCAGCACTACACCAGCTGTGTAGACAGCCTGGTAGAAGCCCTGCTGGTTGACCCGTCTGGTGAGCTCTCGGATCAGAACTGGAGTCATCCGCTTGAGGCGCAGCTTCTTATGAACACACAGGAATTTGACCCGCACCATCCGCTTCTCCCTGCAGGAGAGCACGTTTTGAAAATTTGCTTTGAGACACTTTCAGGTAAAATTGCTACAGTTTTGTTAGTGAGTGCTCTGAATGCTAATACAGCTCGTCAGGTTTCACACAAACACATACCTTTGCATATATTTATGAGCTACTCACGTCTCGTATATGCGGACGTCTGCAGGAAGAGCAGCAATGAAGCCGACTAACTTGTTATTGGTGTCTACCCGCACACCACAGTGCCACTGGGCCAGCCAGTTAGGAGGTTGTAAAGCCCTTAAGGGGAAGAGAATGTCATTGTCTGCAATATGACTCTGTGAATACATGCAGGGCTTGTTCAATAAACTCTGATTAAGGACAATTTCCAATAAAAGAATTGAGCATGAGATGACTCAGCTGAATGAATAACAGCAGCTTTCTTTAAGCTCAGAGCCACAGACCTGTGCCAATTCCTGGAATGCTACTGTTAATTATTGCTATCAAAGTAAATGTTATTATGTTTTGATGTAAGTGTTCCCTGAAGGTGGAGATACCGTTTATGCAGATCAGAGAGGAAAAAAGGCACAAGTGGAGAGATTAGAGGAGCTGGCTTGTAACTGATAACGGTGTGTTGGAGGGTCAGGCTGGAAAGTCAAGTGGGAAAAATGATGTTGTTCTTTCTTAGACTCTCAACGCCTTAATTCCCTTAGTGTAACTCAGAGGGTAAAAGAAATGTGTCGCAGTTATACTAAGCTGTTCTAAGGTGTGATGTGTGAACATGAAAGAAACAGACTGACATTTTGGGAAGTACGCTTATTCACAGAGAGTTAGTCAGGAAGATTAATACCACTCTGATTTCTGTCCGTTAAATATGAGAGTCGTCCTCCTTCAAAGTACGACTATATTTTATTTGTACAAGCAGCTTATTGCGACCAATATTTACGTTATTGGAAGACAGCGACCTCTAGTGGCTGTAGTAGTTATGACAAAGAGCAAAGGACGAAGTCAAGTAACGCAGTAGTAAGCGGTAAAGTCTGCACAGGGAAGAGGATGGGATCGATGAATGGGTAAAAAAAAAAAAAAAGCCCCACAGAATGTTGACCCAGTAAACCCAATATATTGGTAGGTTTAGGAATCACTCCAGTGGGTCATTTTAGGGGCCAAAAACAAATGACTGAAGTGGTTGTATGGGTTGGAGGACTTACTGAAAAATAAGGGTGCTTTCAGACCTTGAGTTGTCTCCTTTGGTTTGAATCAGGGACTAATTTGTTCCAAAGTTGTATAATAACCTAAAGTTGGTTTGTGTTCTCACGGCAGCATTTACAAGCAGACCAGATAAAATGCCTTATGTGAGAAAGCTGCTCTTGATTGGTCAGAATTTCCATGTGGGAAAAATCCAGGAAGTAAACAAAACGTTGAAGAAGAGTACACTTGCAAGATAAATGTGACACTTTCTAATGTCACAATGGAGGGACAACTACGCAGGTTGATTTTAGCGCCGGTCATCGTGGACTATATTGCTGTCATTGTTCATTTTAGTCAAACCATACAGTTTGAAAACGAGGCGCGGCTCCAACTAGAAAACAATGTTTTGATGCATTGGATGTGCTGAATGTGCATATTAAGGCAGTACAGGAGGAGGTGCACATTAATAATCCTCCAGGACTGTAACATGCTCATGTTTAACCCAAACAATGTGTCATGTGACTGCAGTTGGTTCTGATCGAGGTCGGAACATGTTCTCACCACAAAAGTGCGTTTGTAACCGGACCAAGACCACCTCTTCAAGAACATCTTGGTCCGGTTGTTTTCGTGCGCACCCGAGTATGATTGCTGTGTTCACACCTGCCCAAACGAACCGCACTTAGGGGGCAAACAAACTTGAGTTTGATTGAATGGAACCATACAGGGCAGGTAGCACCCTAAGACTACAGCTAGCAGCTAGTTAGCTTAGCTTAGCACAAGGACTGGAAAAAGGGAGAAAGCGCTAGCCTGGCTTTGTCCATGCTATCAAAATTTACTTATCAGTACCTAAAGCTCACTTCATATGTCATCAGTTTGTGCTGGACTGTTCCTTGGCCAGGTATAGGAACTTCCTTAAGTCTCCACTTAGTGCCTGGCAGCTACTCAGCGCCAAGAAATAGTCCTGTAACCCCTCCTTAAACTGCAAATATTTGTTTTAAATCTGTTTTTGGTCCCCAGGAAGTGCGCTAAGATTTAAAACCAGATTTCATACAGGCCAAATAGTGTAATAACATCTGTTACGTGATGCCCTGTGACCCAAAAAGGCTTTTTCTCATTGACATACATGGTGATAGAGACAAATGTAAAATAGTGGATACACACATTTTTTAACCATCTTTACACCAAAAAATCTGGAGGCAAAAAGTGACTAAATGTGCCTGCTTGAAGCTTACCATTGCAGATACTCCGGCGAGAACTCAAATCTGATAGTGTTGTCATCCTCTTCCATGTAGTTCTCACTGAGCAGGGTGCACAACTCTTTCAACTGCAATGACAGATGGAAAGCATTGAATTTGCCTGTATTTGAGTACATTTTTCCCAAACGTCACACTAAGAAAAGTACAGTTCCTTACCTCTGAGAGACACCATTTGGACAGACGTGTGTGAAGCAGTTTCTCATGATTTACAAACCTGCAGTAAGTAACTTACCACCGTAGGGCTGCTCAGATCCAGAGTGTCCCAGGAGAAACCTTTAGGTAGAGAGTAGGGCTCCGTGCGGACACTTGCTTCACCCTCTACTATCGGGCCATGAGTCTCAACACTGTCACCTGAGGACATGAGCACACACAAAAACACATGAGAGAAACATATCTTGATTCTCAATCTTGTAATTATCATGAATGATGTATGGACTTTGTGTAATGGCTTTTTAAAATGAATGCTCTACAATAACGACAGCACTAAAATAGGATTATAGAGTTTCCCCCTCTTAAAAGCATACATTAAAGGGGGCCTGAACATTAAAGTCTGTGCAAATGAGAGATCCATCTCAATTTTAGATCCATGAAATTAGTATGCAACGTCATGTCGAGGCTTTAATCAGCAGAGGAGTTAAAGGTATGCTGTGGGATTTTTTAACGAAGGGGCAGAGCAATGTTTTTTGTGTCATGTTCTCTACCAGCTCATACCCTCAGGTGCCATACACACACACAACCAGGGGAATATGATAACACGCCTGCCAATGCTGTTGGTCTAAATGGGCTGCAATAGATGGGAGTGTGCCAACAAATTGGTAGATGTAGCTTAAAAGTTGAACAATTTAGGGTTTAAAATAATCAAAAGACGGATTTGCAATCTTGACTTTGTGCACACTGAATAGCACATACTTTTAGACCTAAAGGAAAAATTCAGCATTTTGGTAAATACACTTACCGTATGTGCTTTCTGCAGAGGAATTACTGTAGATGAGAAGATTGGTACCACACTCAAATATCTCTATTAAAATATTAACCTGCAGTCTGCAGCCGATTAGCTTACTGTAGATTTGCATAAAGACTGGAAACAAGGGGAAACAGCTAGCCTTGCTCTGTCTAAAGTAACAAACCCCCCCTACCTCTTACACAGAAAACACGCCAAACAGCTGTAAAATGGGGCCTATAGAAAGTGGCAGTTGAGAGCTCAGCTAGCGGCCATTTGATTCTGCGGCAGTGCAAAACTAAATGTCTTGGTTTAACTTTTGGTTAGAGATGCACCGATCCAGCTTTTTCAGTTTCAATACCGATCCCGATGCTGTGGCTTTGAGAATCAGCCAACACCTGATACCGATCCGATGCCATGGTTGACCTAAAAAGCTATATACCTTTACATGTAGAACGGAAAAGACTAGAGGCATCAGGCATTGATGACTACACAGTTCTTTCCTAAGATAAAATGAAACAAGATGAAACAGATTAATGCAGTAATGAACTATTTATTTTCAACAAAAATCAATGATTGTGCAACAGCAGTTGAAACAGTGTGAAATACCTCCACACAGCAGATTCTCTCCTTTGCTCCATGACGTATGACGTAGCTCGCATCACAATAGATTTAGAGGGAAAGGATCGCCTAAGGTATAGGTTGCATTTTCCAATACCCGATCCATCTATTTTGATGATATCGGGGCCGATATTCAATCCAGATATCGGATCGGTGCATCGCTACTATTGGTAGCGAATTTCGGCAAGAGAATCCCCACAATCAGTCCAGTCCTGACATTCCTTTGTTACAGAATTTTTTTACCACCGGACACACATGAATATGTCTCCCTGCCACTGAATTGCAGAAATTTGTCTCAGTGACTCAAGTCTCAACTCTGTATTTTCACTGTCTTCAGAGTTGAGAAACCTCTGAGAAGCCTACGAGCACAGCAAAAGAGCTGCTGGTGATTTATTCCTTTGCTCCTTATTTCTCCTAAGGGGGGGGATTTAGGTGATACCAACACATTCTCACTCCGACCTTGTCACATATTGACATTTGGTCATTGACCACCACTTCCAGATACAACGTGCAAGGGATCCTGGATGCGTTGGTTGTTGACGTTCTGGGACACCCTGTCAACTTCTGCCTGTTACCGTCATCATGCTCTTTCAAAATACACTTCCGTTTTCACAGGAAATTTACCGTTTACATACAGCCTCTTTCAAAATAAATGCACTACGTCGGTACAACGCCGCAAAAATTGTTGTTTTTTAACTTCAACAACAAACGCACGTGGTTGGGTTTAGAAAAAAAGAACAGGGTTTGACTTTATGATCTCACGGGATGGGAACACCACTCTCCCGGGTGAAGGTTAGTGTTTGTCGGACTCATTCACCACCACCTATCTGCCCAACTCTTGACTTTTGCCACCTTATATTCGTTATTTTCTGATGAAACCAAGAAAATTGTGAGCAGTGACATTTTCCGCTAGGAACACTGTAAGAGATTGATGAGGGTCTGATAGGGACCATCTTTGCAGCTCAAATAGCCCAAAAAGGTCAACTAATATTACAGTTGTAATAAGGTCAGGTCAGTAATATCTAAAGTAATATTAAGAAAATTAAAAAAAACTGTGTGGCCAGCAAATTTGAGGGCATAGGTTTTGAGAAGGGTATTAGTTGGCTGTACGCTGTAGGTGGGTGATTTCAAAGTATTGATCCAGAGAAACATACATTGAACATTTAACCTAAGGTAAAAACATTGCTAAGTACATAAACCTTTAGTAAGGTCCTCTTAATGGGTCGTATTAAGAGGATACTGAGGTGGGGATTATAGAGCTCCTGGGGGCATTGATACACTCCCAGTCCAGCAAGGATTCAGCTGTTCCCCCTGTTTCCAGTCTTTATGCTAAGCTAAGCTAACTAGTTGCTGGCTGTAGCCTTATATTTCCTAGAAAAATATTCTAACAGTATCAAGTTTAAAGCAATATTTGTTTTTGGTTTTTTTTAGTTCTCCAGCAAATAATTGCTGGAAGAGAAATTCCATCTTACCCAGTCTGGGGACAGGCTGCGTATCCCAGAATCTGTACGTGTGTTTTTTGGCCTGCTGCAGGTTCTTGGGCAGGCTTGGGCCCAAGGTGAAGAGGTGGAGGGCTCTCTGGATCTCCTGCTGCTTCGACTCAGGAAGGGAGTCCAGCTAGGGCAGAACAAGACAGGCAAGGACAAGTTAGTATACAATCTTTCCTGGAAAGATTGATATCTGACCGCCACACAGCAGCACAAGTCAGCTCGATCCGCACAGCCAAAACTGATATCTCAGAAGGCACATTTATCTGTTTCATGCATGATATGCGTTACAGCACACTCACAGACAGGTTCATGAGCACACATACTGTACATCACTGCATGTATGCATACACAGAAAGACACCAACCATAGCAAATGGGTCCCTGGGACCCTCTGGTCTCCAGGCATCTCCCTTCTTTTGCTTCTTTTTGCCCCCTTTACGACTCTTGTCATCTGTCTGCACCTTATCACTGCAAGACATGTCCACACACAGGTGTTTCTGTATTGTACAGGTGATTTTTACTGAATTCATTAAGTAAAAACAACAAAGAACTGTAAATACTCACGAGTTTGAATCAGTCATTCTGAACAAATGCGAGTCCTTGAAGCTGAGGGCGACTCGGGGTGTTCTCTGACACATTTGTGGTTTTTCGGCTCTTATCTTAGCGAGCAGCGAGGGGAGGAGAGTGACCGCCTCAGTCACCCAGCCCAGCTCCCACCCAGCCCCACAGATAACCGAAAGCAATGCTAACAATTAAATATAACTTCTCACGGTCTTCATATGTCAGACAGTTGCTGGATATAAGGCGCTGTGGCAGATTAAAGCTTACAGCAGCTTGATCCAAGCAGCGCATTTAATTGGTGGAGGTTGTCTAATTGCTGAGTTCCCATATAGTCTTCAGCACTTTCTCCAGAACTTTATATCTCCTGTGGACTGATCATTGCTGCACTGACTCAGCAGTTTGTCCATAAACTTTTTGCCAAGTTGTTGCTTATTATTACAGTGACAAGAATAACTAAGCATTCAAGTATAACTCATACAAATGGTCACATTTAATTAATTTTCACAACAAAGTTGCACTTACTGTAGTAAACTGCGTCTATGTCACACTGGCATTGCTTAAAAAGTTTTAATGATGTTTATCTACATATTTAGGCATTTTCTCACCAGAACAATTATTTAGACAAACCAGTCTTTGATAAACAACACAACATTCTTTCAGTTAAGCAAATTTGAATTTCAGAGACACTTTTCTCTCTCTCTGATGTCTTGTCCTCGTAGATTTAGATCTTATTTCATCATTACATTACTTACACCCCAAGTGAAAGCATAGTGTTTTCGCTATTTTGCTTCCACAACATGTTGACTTTCAGATTAGTGGAAAGAAAAAAGCCAAAATATAAATGTAGGTGTTTATTTAAATTCAGAATTCTATTCTGTAAATGTACTTTTTAAAAAAGTGCATATTTCAATAGTTTTCCTCATTAAACTTCAGGGGGAAAAAATGGCAGCACAGTGGTGCAGTGGTTAGCATTGTTGCCTCACAAAGGGTTCCTGGTTCATACCACGGGTGGGGGAGCACTTCTGTGCAGAGTTTGCATGTTCTCCTCATGTCATTGTGGGTTTTCTCTGGGTACTCCAGCTTCCTCCCACAGTCCAAAGACATGCAGGTTAACTGATGACTCTAAACTGCCCGTAGGTGTGAATGTGAGTGTGAATGGTTGTCTGTCTCTATGTGTCAGCCCTGTGATAGTCTGGTGACCTGTCCAGGATGTACCCTGCCTCTCGCCCAGTGTCAGCTGGGATAGGCTCCAGCGCCCAAACGACTTTACGCGGCTATGAAAATGAATGAATTTTGAAAAATAATAAAAATAATTGTCTTAGTGTAAGTAATAAACAGAGGAAGTTTGGTGATGTCTGTAATATTTATTAATTTATCCATCCATCCATTTTCATCCGCTTATCCGAAGTCGGGTCGCGGGGGCAGCAGGCCATGCAAAGCACCCCAGACATCCCTCTCCTCTGCAACGTTTTCCAGCTCCTCCAGAATGAACCCAAGGTGTTCCCAGGCCAGATGGGATATGTAATCCCTCCAGTGTTCCGGGTCTGCCCCGGGGCCTCCTACCAGTGGGACGTGCCCGAACACCTCTAACAGGAGACACCCAGGAGGCATCCTGATCAGATGGCCGAACCACATCAACTGATCCCTTTCGATGCAAAGCAGCAGCGGCTCTACTCCGAGCTCCCTCTGGATGTCCAAGCTCCTTACCCTATCTTCATGGCTGAGCCCAGCCACCCCACGGAGGAAACTCATTTTGGCTGCTTGCATCCGCGGTGTCATTCTTTCAGTCACTACCTAGAGCTCATGACCATAGGTGAGGGTTGGGACAAAGATGGACCAGGAAATTGAAAGCTTCGCCTTCTGGCTCAGCTCCCTCTTCACCACAACAGTCCGGCACAGCGCCCGCATATATTAATTTATTTATTTAAACCTGTTGACCTGTCTTACTTTTGTCCATATGAAATTTTACAATATGTATCTTTATACTCTGAGCCAGAAACCTCCACTTTAGTAGCACTCACATTCACCAGACTTTCCACTTTTATTCCTCTCTATATTCTGAAGATTTTTACAGAGGGGTTTGTTCATATATCATTCATAGCCTGATTTATATAACATTTCATTCCTATAAACATGAGAAAATGGAGTTTTTATGGCTGTTGTCAGTATTGCAGATTTATGGAGTGATGTAAAAACCTTTCACTTTAACACGTTAACAAAATGAAACAAGAATTTTGAACCTGGCTTTATCCAATATTCAGATTTATGGTCTGGAAATAGATGCAAATCAGTGCATATTTAATTAGATAAAAACTCATTTGAATACTAAAACATCTCATTTCAGCAAACTTGTAATACAAGAAATAATTGTCTTATTGTAAGTCATCAACTGGGGCAGTTTAACAGTGATATCTCTGCATCAATTGTGCATCATGCACGTTCTCCTCCGCACACCCCAAGAGAGGTTTACTGCACTCCCTGTGGAGTCTGTTGCACGCTGCTTATATTCATCTTGGGAGCATGTCAATTTTTTGTATTTACATAGCTCAATATAACAAATCACAAATTTGCCTCCGGGGGCTTTATAATCTGTACAGCATCCTCATGAGCCCTTCGTGCCTAATACATCTGTGTAACCATTTGTGCTATAAATGGTCCAGCTCCTTTGATCTGAGTGTTTTTCACTGAAATATACATGTAAAATAGATTTATTTTTCATTTATAAAGTGCAGCCTGGAGCTATTTCTGTCTTTATACTTCATGGTTTCGACTGTGGTATTATCATGCTGCTGAAATGCCAATAGGAGAAGGATGCTACTAACACCTGTCACCATTCAGACTGAAGGACTGGAAACTGTGGAGACCTATACGTACTTGGGAATGCTCATGAGAAGAGGTGCATGTTCATATTGAGGTGTTTTCAACATATATGTCCTTAACTACCCTTTTCATTGTCCTAGAGAGGAAGCAGCCAGTGTTGAGATGCAGGCAGGGTGACCGAAGTGGTGACACAGCCGGCTCAGCTGCTCACCCCGGAGGCAGCAGTAAGGCTACAAGAAAGTCCCTTTTGAACAACATGCAACACGTCTCTGGTGAGCCGATGGAGCCTCTGATACCCTGTATATTTATGTCTGACTCAGTATCTATTCCCATTTCTGTTTTCCTCATTCTGTAAAAAGACTCTCCCCAAAGGTTGTTCAAATTTCATCTGTGCTGAAGCCCTCTTGAGTCACTGAAGAAATCACCAAGGCTATCAGGATGTGGAAAAATAATTCACCCATTTTGTCGTCAAGGTAGGTACTGTAAATCAGTTTGGATGTATTAATGATTTCAGTCCACCTGTGGTGATTACTGTCACGCTCCACACACTGATAGCATATTTACTGTCTGATCATGTCAGAGGAACTGATTACTGCTGTGATTCACAGCATAAAAATGCTCAAATGTATATGCACGGGCCATAATGTCATCACTCTCCTTTTTGTCTGTTCAGACTTTTTTCACTGATGTCTCCAGCGTCATTTTTCTTCTCACTTGCCAAAAGATAAATTAAACATTTTGGACAGTGCAGGTAACTGCTGCAGAAGAGTGTGATTGGCTGGTTTGCACATACCAACACCCTCCTGGTGAAGTTGATGCTTTACCCTTAGCACTGCAACTTAATGAAGCTCAGCGTGAGTTCAATCAAGGAGACTGTCTTTACGCCACATTCATTCACAATTCTTTCTCTGTCCCACTCACACCACTTGCTGCTGCCAAACTTTAAAATCTGTTCTCCTCTCTGCTCCTGTCAGCTGTCATTTTAGGCGCAATCATCATGCCCTCCTTCACCCCATTCACCTCCAGTCACTTTATCCAGAGCCCAAGACCAGCTCATCAAAAGTCGATTCCTCTACACATCCTGATCCTTAGCTCCCTCTTCATCTCCACTAACATCTATACTCCATATGGGGGATCCCTAATCCACTACGTCTTTATCGTCCTCTGGAATAGATGACATGATGAGTCAATATGTTTCCAAATGATACTTTTACTGATAATATGAATGACTGTCAATCAATGAGAAACACAACACATTACCTTCTCAACTAAACTAAGCTGAAGAGCCAGTAGAGAACATCGAAAAAACCAAACATTCTTAGAATCCTCTCAAAGGGCTCCTAACTTAGCCTTAAAATTTTTAGGGAGGAGTCCTAGCTTAGGAGTGATTTAGGGAAGTTCTCAGAGCAACTCTGCGCAAGTAAGGGAAGGAAACTTTTACCTTAGTGAGGAGGTGTGGTTGTATGACGCATTCTTTTAACAGATGTGATTGGTTATCACATATACGCCCCTTTGTGAGCCTGCAAGGTGTGGACTAGGCAGAGGCAGTCCTGGCTAGTTTTATGCCCTGCGCGAGTAAAGAGCAGTCCCTTCATAACTAAAGAACAGTCCCTAAAGTGCGGTGAGGTTTGTGGACCGTTACCTGCCACAAAGAGAGAAATGTGAATGGCTCGTTTCTCCTCTGACACGCCACATACCTGTGTGCCGTCACGGCTTGGTTGTCCAGGTACTACTGGGCAGTCATGACACCAACGAAAGAGGAAATTACTGGACCTGGAGTCGGACTTCTCTGTCGCCGGTAAGCCGTTACCTTGCGCCGCAGAGCACTATGAGCCTCTGCCGTATTCTTGTCTGTGACCCTCGTTCAACCTACAACCGCCAGGATTCGCCTTTCCTTTCTGCTGCTGGTTGAAACGTGATAATAGGGGCGCCCCAGCACCCACTCCACTAACTTGACGTGGAAATAAGCGGTAGTCTAGAAAACTGCCGAGTTTTTTTTTTTGATTTTTTTTTGATGGGCGCTCGTGTGCCCTCACATAGATTGGCCTAGGCGGTCGCCCACATTGCCCATAGCGAAAACCGTCCGTGGGACTAGGACCCTACAATACCAGAGTAGCGACATACATTGGTCAAGCGGAAAGTTGGTCACGTGCCCTCTAGTGGCGGGATAGCACGTTGCATATCCAACCAAGAACTGACTGAACTTCAGTATTGCTGCACTGCTGCCGACCAGGAATTCTTGCGC